AAATTCGAGCATTATTCATGTATGCACTCGGAGCGTACTAAATTTCGTCACGGCTCTGGAAGGTCATGTGGGAGACACCCCCTCGTAACTCCGGCTTTTATGCCTTTTTTCGTGGCAGAACCGTGTCATATGTTCTTGCCCCTCCTTCTCCCCCATAAAAAGTAACGACGAGCTTGAGCCTGGCCATCGAGCATCAGCGATTTGTCAATTGGCACCGAATGTTTCCGGTGATGCGCGTTTAAACGACTGTGCGAACATATTGAGAAGATTATCAAGTACAGTATGTAACGGAAATCCCGGTTTGTGGGTTTGATAATTTATCGCCGTGATATCTTTGATTTTTCCTTGCGGAGCCGCGTGAAAGAAACAATCCGCGAGAAATACGATCTTGTTGATTTAAACGACCGGTGAAAAAGGTGGACATCTGTTGCGAAAGAGCATTTCTCAGATATAATAATTCAAACATATTTGTTCAAGACAAGTGAAATGTGTAAAATTAAATATTACTGCAATATGAATCCGGGAACACAAAATAATTAATTCAGGAGAGTCTCGGATAACACAATTCACAAGACTTGACAATGACACTACTCATGAAACGTTCCACAAAAAACGACCAACCTCCCCATTCATAAAATGCGAAAAACAAACCTACTTCGTTCACATCTACGCGATATCATCCCCTACACAAACACGCTAATTCAATTCTTCCACGAAAATTTCCCCGAAACACGAAAATTGCTCCCTAAATCCACCCCGTCGAAGAGGGTTCGTTAAACGCGTTTATTAAACCGTCTTCCCGTGTAGCAAGAGCCGGTGGTAGAGGAGTGTTGGTTGTGTTCCATGAAAAATTCAAATTCGGATCAGAAACGATGACGAGGCGAGGAGAGCCGCGCTCTTCAGCCCCTCGCGTGACGGGGTTTGTTTCACGCGGCGAAACCGAGATGCCCCCTCCGGCTTCATAATCAAAACTGCATTAAAATCCTGAAAGCGGGCGACGAGGGCGCGGTGAAAAGTGTTTTGTCATCCGACGGGGGGTTGCTGCCGCGACGCAATATGCCTCTCTCGCCCCCTCTCTCTCTCTCCCTCGTTGGATCCATGCACCAGCCCGTCGTAAACCGATAATTTTACCGGGCCATTACGATCGCGCGTGATAACGAAGCCGTAAAAAGCGCATCTCCGCGGCGCGATGCTTTCCCGCGAAAATACAGGCGAGCGTTTTAATTGCGCCCCGCTTTTTTCGCGCCTCCTCGATCGCGATAATAACCGTAAAAACTAATTTCCCGTTGGCCGGGATCGATGGGAACCGGTGATGGCCGTTGGTGCGTCTAGAAGCGTGTGTAGTATTACCTGGGGAGGGGAGATTTGTAAGCAGAACGCGTTAGGATATGATAGAGAATAGTCGGTTTAATCGTAGGATCTTTAAAGGCTCCGCGGTTTTTATTGCCCGTCGTAAAACTCCTTTCCTACGATCGCTTGTCTGGCAATCGTTAGAAGAAAATTTAGAAGCGATAGGTGATAATTCAAATTTCGTAGCTTGGAAAAGTAGAAAATTCGAACGTTTGAGAATTCGCACAGTCGAATCGCCGCTGGTAAAAATTAACGCAACAGCAGCGAAACCATTCCTCGCTAGACATGGTCGGTGGTGTGAGGGATGACGGGACCGTTTGCCAGCCGCTACCTCGACTGTAAAATTTCATCCTGTCCGTTCTACGCGTGGCGGGCTTAAGTTTTCCGGTGGCGAAGATATTTTTGCCGGTTCCTTTCGCTTGAAAAAAGAAGCAAAGAGAGAGAGAGAGAGAGAAAAGGTTGGGCAGTTGCCACTGCTTCCGTCCCCTTCCTCCTCCACCGTCTCTCGTTCTCCTTTGGCCAGGGGCTGAGCGCCATTGTTCGGGCGATATTTCAGCCACGGGGGTGGTTGCTGGAGGAGGGAGGACGCGGGGGTGGGCGGCGGTAGTCAGCTGGCTGTGACACGCTGCCTACGCCGCCAAAGGGGAACCAGAGGCGTTTAGGAGTATTTGGGGGCTGGAAAGGGGCCCTCGGTTTATACAAGCAGGGATACTCTTTCATCCAACGATAGCCGAGGCCTTGACTTTGAGGGGAGCCGGTGTTGCGATCCTCCCGCACGTTTACACACCCGCTGGACTCAATTCTCAGCACTCTGTAGCACGTTCTATCGGCGATCTGTGTTTCGTGTCCACTTGTCGTGCTTTGTCCTGCAGGGTGTAAACTTGCTGATTTCTATTCGCTGTTTGCCCAGTAGTTTTCTCGGATTAATGTCGTCCCTGGCGATTGTCCAATTTTATCCGACCTCTCGTCCCATTCTTAACAAATTCATTTAAAGAATGTGTACGTTTAGATCACCATTATGTATGCTACGAATCTGCTACCATTTTTTTTAGTAAATTCGGAATTAATTCTACCGAGTTACATAGCAATTCGCTTCGTTTCGGTAGATTAGACGATTCGGTTGAAAATTGGGTTGAAATTCACAGTTGCCTCAAACTTTTAGCCTACAGTGTACGTACAGAGAGTACCGAAGCTCTTCTTTAGTAAATTCAGTTAGAGTGGAATTAATTTAATCACCGACATACACGAAGCAGCGTAGATCGATATTTTGCAAGGCACAGCGGTCCAACGCCACAGATCCATCTCAGAATCCACGCAAACTCCGTGCAAACGATCTGCAAGAATCGCATTCTAGCAGAAAGGTTTAAGTTCCCATTTCTCGTCACTATCCCGTTCATTCTTCATCATCCTCAACCTGATTGCAGAATCAACTACTCCAAACCCCTTCACGCATTACCATCAACACACACGCAACCCTCGTCCGTCCAAGCATATCTATCCTAGTGGCGTTAATTGAACGCGAAGTCTGGAGTCGCCTTGCGACGTGGCCGCGTCGCGCTTGCTGTTTCAAGCCGGTCGGACCGGCCAGTCGCGGCTGACTGAACGCGTCGAGCAACGAGACTTTGATAATTATTATTCATAAGACTCTCCGCCCGGGAGCCCGGCGAAGCGTGAGAGCTAGCAAGAAAGATGCGCCGCGAAACAAGAGGGTCTGTGTGGTGCAGCTGCCACCGCGTTCTCCTCGCCCATCGGAACCACGGTTTTCCACGGACGACGGGAAGAAGGGGGTGTGCTCTCGAGTCAGTCGAGCAGAAACCCAATCACTTCCGGCGTCTGCGCCCATTAGGGCGCCGCGACGCTGACGTCGGCTGACGTACGCCCTTTCGCCTGTCTTCCTTTCTCAGTCGCGTTTCTCCTCTCTCTCCTTCGTTTCCCTTCTCGCACAGCCTCTGCACCGTATCCACCCCACCCCCTTTGGACCTCTCCCAACCTCGAAATAGACCGCAGATCTATTGTTTGGAAAGCGCTCGCACGGAAGCTCCTTCACCGTGGCTAATGACGTATCGAGGATGCCGCCTCCGTTCCTTCCTTCTCGACAACATACCACCCACTCCTCTTTTTTCCTCTTCGTTGTTAGCGAGATAATAGGTCGCGAAGCTGAGGGGATAAGCTCTGGGGATGTTTCTTGGAAAACGTACTCGAGGTATCGATGCTTCTCCAAGTATGGCTTGTGTAATTGTCGAACAGGGATGGATTTATTACAGGGAAACTGAATTGGAATTTTTAACCCTTTCACTGCTACCACTTTCGCCTTAATTCAATCCTTAAATTTTGCTTAAAATTCAACACTTCGAGTAGTCTCACGTTAGTTTAATAATAGAAATTTGGAAATGATATGTTTTTAATTTTTAAACATTTCACAACGAAGTATTTTGCCGATAGCCTGCCGCAGCGAAAGGGTTAAACCAACCGATAAGACGTTACTTTTTCATTAGAAAACCAAGTGAAAAATATTGAAGGAGTTTTTGAAGTCTGGTAGATTTGCGACTTGTATTAATTAAATTACCACGAAAATATGTCAGCATCCCCCGGAAAGAATTTACAGAAATCTACAGAAAATTGACTTTCAGAAATCCGATTTACGATCCCTATTAAACTCCTTGATTGCCGAAAATTTCTTTCTTTGTAAAAGAGGGTAACGCCGCAGGAACTAGAGGGAGTGAAGCTGGATCGATGGAATGAAGAAAGTTCGATTCCATCGGGAACTAACGCGCACCTGTATAGTTCTCTTTCGGGCGTGCATTTCGCTCGGCCACTTCGTCAAATTAACATACACGATTCGGCCGGAAATTACGTCCGACAATTACCGACCTTACGCCGATGAAATATCGACGGTGCCCGCCCAGCTCGGCCAAATTGAGATGAACGATACATCGACGTACGTACGCGCGTTCTGACCGAGCTTTCGACCTTATCACACCGATCGCCTAATGCCCGCTGCCCATGATCCACTGATCTACATAATGAGTCATGAATACGTCTGGCTACCTGACTGCTATCGTTATCTCTGATTACCCGAATAGATTTCTTGCCAGCCACGCTGTCCTATGATCCGTACACGGCTAAATGACCGATGTTAGACCTTTGATTGCCTCGCGGTGTATTACACACGTGTTCCGTTCCACCTATTTTTTCTGCGTCACGTTAATGCACCGTTTCGGGGATAATGAGCTGAATAAATATAGGGATAATCGTGGAGCTCGTTAGCAGCTGGAAGAATTAGCTTCGGGAACACGAGGTGGAATTTTGTTTTTTCTCCGGGTACGTACTGATTTTCTTGTTTGATTGAGCAACCCTTTCACCTGGATGGATGGTAGAAATTAAGCTATTCTTTCAGATGAAAAATGTCCAGTTCTTGCGTATCGATAAGAATTGTCCTCATATGTGCATGATAACTTCTTTTATTAAAGGGTTAAGAATTGTCTTAATATCGTGGAGGATTTCAATTTGAAAATTTCTGGAACGAAAGGGTTAATTATAGATTGATTAATAATTGTGGATTTAACGAAGATTAGACGTGATTTGGAACTGTCGTGTAAGTTTCCCGGTAATCGTGCTTCTATATCTAATTCGATGTATTTCTGTTTCAGGTTCATCAACGCGAGGCGTAGAATCGTCCAGCCCATGATCGACCAGAGCAATCGAGCCGGTAAGACGAGCCCAATTCTGTCAACAGACCCTTACACACACACATACAACACCGAAGACGCGTATAATTTCATGTCACCTGTGCCGGGCATGCATCACGGATACGTTTATCCGGCTTATCACGAGGGTTACACTCCCGGTCCTTATCGCTTGACGTAGATCGATGCGTCGAAACGAAGGAATCCACTGTACCCATAAGCGCTCGTCAGATTTAACGTCCTTATTAAGCTAAGATCATTCACATTTCAAACGTTCTTTGTTTAACTTTGATTTTTATAGAATTCTATGATGAAAAGATTATCCTTTATTACATGATTTATAATATCCTTCAATTCTTATATTATTACGTTAAATCATTATATTACAATGTTTTATTTCCTTTTTTTAGATTACTTTAAGGAAATGTTATTTTACTTTAATTTTTTTGAAATTTTAATTTGTAGCTTAATTTACTTTGTTCGTTGTATTTTTCTTCTTTTTTTTAATAATTAGATACTGTTTCTTGTTGAGAAATTGTTTTTAGGATAAATTACCGGTATTATTACTCGGTTCTCCCTTAGGCTGTAAGACGAAACCTTGTAGGTGCTCGCGAGAAAATTGAAATTTGAAAACTGACAATCACGTCGCCCGTTAATTCGCCCCGCAATTAGTGTAATTCGGCGAAGAATTGGCCGCGACGTGTTGTCCGTGGAATTCATGTAAACTCGGCTGCTAGGAAGTGCTCGCGATTCCAAGTGCCGTGGCCACCTTTGATCATCTATCAATAAACGAACCGTCTGAACCGTATTAAACCGGTAGCTCGTTTTGTTTCTTTGGCGGAAGCCAATTATCCCCCGTGACTCGATTATCGTCGGATCGTAATCGCGCGCCGGCTCTGCTCTCGACCTCTCCATTTTCTGTCTCGTTAGCACTCCATTTTGACTACTGTGCCTCGTAATCTCTTCCCTCGGAAAAACAAACTTAATCTTAATCGGATAAAACATCGTATACGATACACCGATTCCTTTTCTCGAATATCACGCCCTAATTGTCTATCGAACAGCTCCGCTTTGCTATCAACTTTCCAATTTTTACTCGAGTTACAAATAAAGGCCACTTTTCATTTTCTATTGCAATTAAAGAAATTCTATTTCTACCAATAGACGTTTATTTTTATCGAACATTCCATCGGGCAAATTTAGATTTTCACGTTTCTTTTCAAAGAAATACTGGAAAAAAATCCCGCACATTCTTCATCGTCAACAAAACAATTTTTCCAAAAAAAAAGGTTCACGTTACTTCCAAATAAATTCCCCAAAAAGAGCGGTATCAATCTAGTTTAACCCTTTAAAAATATACGTACCAATTAAAAAAGAAAAAATAGAAGAAAATTCGCAAAGCATCCAAAGCTACGCGTAGCAATTTAACAGCCCGAAATTCCCCTCGAGCGACGATCCGACCTTGGGAGAAAAAAGGAAGGAAAAGAAGCGAATCAGAAGGGAGAAAGAAAAACACGGAGCCGCCGGTTTCCGGGCCGTGTAATCTGTAAAGACGTCGCGTTTACGAGGAGGGAATCACTTCGTTTGCAGTAAAAGGCGACAACAACGGTTACCTAGGCCAGGGTTAGGGGTTGGTGGAAGTAGCGTTGCCTCTCTTCGGCTCTGCCCTCTCCTCTGGGGTTCAAGGGTTCGCCTAGTGATTCGGATGATAGCGGGAGGGCTGTTTCGTGATGGCCCGGCTCGGCGAAAGGTGGATAACGTTCCGGATAACGTTCGGATAACGGCGGGATAATTGGTAGCGGTGATCAGACCGAGTTTTACGAGCAGCCAACACGCCTCTCCCGCCCCTCCACTCATCCCTGACTGTTGTA